TAAGGTGCCTTTGGCCACCTGTACACAATCATATGTGTAATTAATTTCTTTCAATAAATCTTGTGTGGAATTGCCTGAGCCAGAGTTTCTATAATGGGATGTGGATCAAGGTGGCAAGGAAGTCATTGAAAACTGGCAGGGAGAAAGTTGTGGAAATGGGAGAACAAGAAATCCATTAAAAAACGGAGTTGCCAAATATATAGGTATAAAGGAAATTATGCCTATTTCTCAGCACTGACTCTTTTCTGCTACAGATTCAGTGGGACTCTTGCAGGGGTAAGATCTGTTCCCATGGTCCCAATGCAGGACTAGTATCTGAAATTGTTTACTGATAATTAATCATTTAGAGTTGAGCTGAAGAGTTATTGTTTCAGTTTTGCAGATCTTATCAATCAGATCATAGCTATGCAAAACTAAAACTGGTAGTGTTCCCATATGTATTGTATGTTATCTGAATATTGTAAGAAAGCTGTGGTGCACATGGCATGGGTGGTCAGGTAAAAAGGCAGCAGTTCTGGCTCACCTTTAACATGGTACAATAATTTGTATGTGATGTTCTGTTAAATAAATGGTATTGCTGCCAATTGTACAATGTCCCATTTAACAAGTGGCATTTTTTCCACATTATATAAAACAAGAAAATCTTTGAAGTAATCTTTTAAGAACTGGAATATATTTTTCAAATATCCTTTGAGACATATGATCCATGAAGCTTCAACCATTTTTATACAATTACAGTTCTAGATGAATTATAAACTCTTAAATTAAAATTATAGGGTTCTTTCTAAAAGTCATAAAGGATTAGAGACAGTTGGAAGCAATTTCAAGAAGAGAGAGCTCTACAGTGAAAGGGTTGCCAAGGGTTTGAATGAAGGTGCAAATCAAAATGTAATACTTTTAATGCTGTATGTGCTACAGACTGCACTAAATTAATTGGTACTGAATGGGGAAGAAAATATTTAAGCAATCTTCTCGCCTTGTGCTGATTCTTCATATAGATGACTATTTTACTTTGCTTCCCAAAATACAGACTTGATTTTTCCAAGGCATTTGCAAGATTTGGCATTTTATCCTTTGACACTCTCTGTGGCAGGTTTTTTTTCCTTATCTTTTTCCCCCCTAAAGATATTTAGTAGATTTTTCTTTATTCTTCACATATCCCCACCAATGTATTTTGTGTATTCTTTATGGATCCACACTAATGTAACTGACTCTTTACCCATAATGTTCCTCCTCTTCTAGACCTAAGTCCTTATGAACAGAAGTTCCAAATGAAATCAAGTCAAATAATTTCCTTCTTTTTGCTTAAGCAGTGAACTCAGTTACCATTCAGAGCAGAAGGACCTAAGCTCTAGTCTTTTTATTCTCCTTGAACTGAATGGTTTAAGGTGATAATTTTGAAGCCAAAAGAGGTCATGTATGCATGACTAATGATGTCATGGTTTGCTGAAATAAAAATGGTTCATTCCACAAATGTTATATACTAGTGATATTTAAGTGGTTTGTCAGTGGAATTATACAAAGTTATGTGGATATACAGTTAGGGGGTGGTTTTGTTTGGTTTTTCTCCCTTTTATGGTTGTGCATTATGTCCTCATGTTTTCTTCTGTTGTAGAACAACAGAAAAGTTAAAGGACAAAATCACCCACCTGCATTTTTCCTGATATCCGTGATACTAAAACTTTTATAAAATCCAGTACAAGAAGAAAGCTTGTTTTTCCTTAGATTAAATACATCTAATAAATCGTATCCAGCTAAATTATTATTTATCATGCACATGTCAATTTGAGAACTTCAGAGTTCTTACAAAGTATAGTAAAAGTTTCAAAGCACATTTGTTTTCATTAATGGAGAAGGAGTAGCATATTAAGCTTCTACACACGGTGCATGCTACTATACACTAGGACATTGAATTTTATAAAATATGATGATCAGAAAAAATGCTCATGACCTTAATTTTCAAAAGTGACTAAGAATTTGGGGAAACTCATTTTTCTGGGGGTATGCAAATTTGATACCATGAATGTGCTTCATATTTATGTGGTGGTGTGATGTTCCTTGATACTTTCAAACATCACATTGTCTTGATGGTGACTCAAGCTGATATTTTAACTCAGTAGCTGTAATTGAAAATGTAGGCCTTTTCTTATTGAAAATAGCCCTTTCTTACACAGCTGAATAACCAGAGCCCTATTCCATCTTCCTTTTGCTGTGATCATCCTGCAGCTCTCTAGCTGTGGTCCCATCTTTTCTTTCTGCTGGATGATCACTATGCCTTTCACATTCCAGTTATCTTGCAGTATTAGCAGTGGTGACTTACAGAACTACCTTTCAACTCTGATCTGACTTAAAGACTGTTGTGCATCTCTGATTCTTTCAGATGCGTCATCCCAGATGTCTTGCTGCTAGCTCAAGCGTAGCAGGACAAAACCAGTACTTTTCATCATCTTAACTCCCTCCCCTTCCCTGCCTGCCTTCTTCATTGCTATTGAAAATAGCACTTTCTACTTTCTCATACCCACGCTTATTACCTTGGGGTAATTTTTACTTCCAGCTCTTTCCCTCACATTCAACTATCCTTACACTATTTTAACAGCAAGTTGCTCACCTTGTTTCTATTCATACTTCTGCTATCTCCTGTTTTTATTGCTCTAACTTGCATCTCCTTGATTTGTTGTTTCACATCTTGAAAAAGCAGTAGCCAAAACTGTCTTCCTTAGGTGTCTCACTCTTGCCCACCAAATCAAATCTAGAATTTTTGTTCTTCCTTCCCTCCCAGGCTTTTTCCTAGGTTTTTATCTGTTCTTGTTCTCTTACTGCTCATCCACCTCCATCTTTCTTACTCTGTGATGGTCAACACTTCCTTCTTCATTTTCTCTGTCTGTCCTTTTTGGGTCTTCTTTAATTGTTGAAATGAGAGCTCCCCACATTGGTGCATTAGGCTTACTCCATTTGTTTATTTTAAGTGCTTCTATAAACCTATTTTGCAGGCTCTAAACGTTTCAAAATCAAAACCAATCTGATCTATAACAATTCATAAAGAGTTCTAAATTATTTTAAAAAATATTTATTATACAATTTTTGTTCTATGGGAAATTTTAAAAGTATTTTTCCAGAATCATTTAAAAATGGTAATTCCCAGGACAAGAATTCTGATGTTCAGCCAACTATGGTTATTACTTATATTAAACAAGTTGCAATATTTCTGGCTTGTCTTTTCTAGCCTTAGATATATTTTGTAAAACTTCTCTTATGGGGCATAGGAGGGAAGCCTCCTCTTTCTTATAAACTGAGAAATGTGAGAGAATTGAGTGATAGTCACTGGCAGACAGCAAATGCAGAATCTCATTGTATCACCCTTACAAGTTTCTAAAGCATGACTGCATTTTATTTCTCCCCCTGGAGTATTTTAAGCTCCCTGACCCTGCTTTCCCCCTCCCCCCACCTTCAGATGAACAACCTTGCCCCTTTCCCCACCCCAACTTACTAAAAATAGCCTGGTGCCAAAGGGTATGGGGGGAGAAAAAATGCAGCCCTAAGGCTGGGGCTCGGGCCAGTGGCTGGGCTTTTGTAGCTTGCTGGGCTGCACTGGAAACTGTACAGCAGTTCAGTGTAATCTGTCTCCCCAAACCCAATCTAAGTTAGGCTACCTCTGAGGTAGGGTTAATTTAGAGTGGGTCAGTCATTTTTAGAATGATCTTACCTTCATGAACTTGTGTACAATTAGCACTTAGATTGACCTAACTAGGGATCTAAGGGTGCAGGCAGAAGTTACAATTTTTGCCTGATCCAGCCACAGAAAGCATTTTTTTAGCTGTGGCCAGACAAGTACACAGCTCCAGACAGCTTCAAAAATGGTGGATTGGTTGAAAATCTGACCCCTCATTGGATGAAGTTATCAGATAAAGACATTTCAAAATGTAGCCTCTTTTGTAACTTGTGTCTGCCAGAGCTTCCAATCTCTTACTGTTTTACAAAGGAGGGGGAGGGGAAAGGAAGTGAAGGGAGTTCAGTCAGGGTGGTTTTTGGCCCCCTGGAGGGTGGGGCAGGTATATTGGAGCCTCCCTAAGGTGTGGAGGCTTCAATTTACCCAGACCACCCTTCAATACCAGCTGGGAAGCCCCAAGAATGAACTACCTGTGCTGCCCTTTACCCCCTCCCATTCTGAAAACAGTGAGCACTGGCAGACAGCTGTGGCCATTGCTAAGGGAACCTGGCTGGCATCTAGACTCCCCGCCCCCCTGGAGCCAACAGTGAACTTCTGTTTGTTCTGGGGTAACGCTGTAACTCAGAAAGCTTTGCAGAAATTGTTCTGAGTTACAGCTGAGAGCTGCACTTCTGTCTGCACTCTAAGCATAGGGTCTGCACCTGGGAGAATTAAGTTAGATCGGGTGAAAATTTTGAATGTGATCTAACCTCCCTAGATGTCTGTACCTAGCCTTAATGTGTGTCTGTCATTTTTTTTCTATCTTCTTACCTTCCTCTTTTAAGCACTTGAGATCTACAAGTGAAGATAAATATAAAAGATCTAAGGCTATGGACAAATGTAATTTTAGCTTGTTTAAGAGGGTCAGGGGAGCTGCCGCTCAGGAGCATGCATCAGCTGTTATGTGTGCACAGTACCTGTACTGATATCAGTTAACTATATTGCCCAACTTCATTCTTAAATAAAGCAGGATTAAAGTTGGAGAAATTTTCCTACACTTGCATTTGCATAGAATCATGTAGACTTAACAGCTGGATTGTAAAAGCTTATTTTCAGTATCTTTTGATATACCTTTGATACTTATTCAGTATCTTTTGGTAGTTATTACATCTGTCTGTACCCAAAGGAGTAGTATTATTTAAAAGCTACGTATTATAAAACAAGGTTCTTTGTTTTCTATTCAAAATATGTTGTGTACATTATCTTGCACTTAAATATGGCAGGGATAAATTTTCTCTTTAATATAATTTTCTCCATAGAGAGGAATTGATTGTATTTTGCAATCTGTCCCCAGATGATCTCAATATGACACATCAGCACTGTGTGTTGGCTGGCTGGCCACCTCGGTTCAGCTCTACTCACAGAGTGGCAGAGGTGAGTAGGAGGGAGAAACTTGATTTGCTTTTTGCTCCTCAGTACTATTAGTAGCGCCAGACATTGTGAATATAGGATCACAGTGTTGTTTTAAACTATGATTCACAGTTTTACTGATGACTTAGACTTTTCCTGGGAACTTTATGTGCTATACTTGAGTCTAGTCCTGGAAGACGTCTCATTGATTTTTTTTATGGGACTAGGTACACTTTCTTTGTTTATGAGCAAAGAAGTTTGAGATTATGCCTACCTAACCTCTCCAACAACTTCTGTACTATATTTCACCAACTTGTTAAATACATGCAAAAAATTTTAATCAAATAAAAAAAAAAAATTTAATCTTTGTTTACCTTTGGCTACCTCAGCTCCAATATAAGGGTTGTTTTAGTAACAGAGGTGGGAGGGAGATATGTTCAAAATGCATTCCCGGGAGGCAGAGCAACTGAGTGTAGCCATGAGACTGTTTTTAGTTGGAGCCAACAGTTTCTCTAGGACTGGACATGAAAATAGAGAGGTGGCACAAAGCCCGTAGTCTGAACTTTGCCCTGACATACCACAGCCCATTCACAGAAAAAGTGTTAGTAGGTGCTCTTTATTAGCTTTAATTCTTTAGCTACTCCTAACTGTCATAACTGTATGAATTTAAAGGAGCATAGAGATATTTATCACTGTGAGTCTGGATTTTATTTATTTTTTTAATTTTGTCCGTTGTTATCAGACATTTTCTTTCTATGGTAAGCAAAAAGAAAGGGATTAAGGGAGAAAAAATAGATTATGTACTGAAACAATTATTTAAAAAAATAATTTTTGTTTGTCATAGCAAGGCAAAAAGGCATTATTATTGCATATGTGTGTATGAGAGAGTGAGAAGTATACACTTTAGTGTTGATTAATTTTTCCCTGTTAGCTCTTATTTGTAGTTATTGTAGAGAAAATTAGTGATGAAACTGGTAAATATAGTTGATATTTATATATAGAAAACGTATATAAACCAGAAAATAAAGAATTACAATTTAAACATGATATCTCAATATTTCTTACTTTAAGCAATTTGTGGTCTAAAGATATGTCTGATTTCTCAGTCATGTTGGAGCATTACATCTTTCAAAACAAACCCTGGCGATTAGAGCTGAGCTTTGGTATAAAACTGTAACACAATGTGCATTATACTGCATGTGTGAAGAAAACGGTTCTTTATTTTCCTTTGCAGAAAAAATGAGCTCTCTGACCTACTACTCCCACCACTGTGTTGTTCTGACATTAAAATGCACATTTATTGCCACAATTTGAGAAGCTTCCCCTTTAGATGTTTGTACTTTTGTTTTTATAAACCTTTGTGACCTCACATTGTATAGTAGGGAAGTTCTAATACAAAGAATTATGAGACCAGGGGGTCTCTATTCAAGGCTATTCCTGGGGATCTAGCTAAAGTTATAAATATTTAACTGAAAATAATTATGATGTAGACATATCCTTTTCTTTTGTGTCACAAGGATATTTACGTGTTCCTTCAGCACTGAGGGAAGTTACGTTCATAAAAAAACAAATTAAAGAGGTAACAATCAAACCTATACAGTTCTTGTTTTCTCCATTTAATATATTCCCTTTTCATGCTCTGTGTGGAATTCATATTCCATGTAGAATCATGTACTAGAGAGGATGTGATCAATTGTTAAATGCTCTAGAAGACTAATCTGTTTGTCAAGGGGGAGGAGGAAAAAGAATATTGGCCATTTTCAAAAGTCTTTGATTGTTTTAGCTTACAGATTTTTATCACAATGATTAATTTCCCCCCAAATCTTTACTTTTGAGACTTAACTGTATCTTTTAATGAGTTATATTTTTTAAAATATAAATGGTATTGATGTTGTGGGGTATAATAAGTATAAGATTTCTTACTTTGTTTCTCTTCCTGTATAAAAAATGTTTATTGTGATTCAGTGGCTGACACTGAAAATTATTTTCTGTTTGCATTAAACATTACTGCTTCCAAATTACCTATAAATTTATATTTTTTTCATTTTGCTTTTACAGTGCTCAAGAGGGACCCTGGAGTACATTTTTAAGCAGTGTGAGACAGCACTGCAGAATTTACAAGCTGATTCTGAATCAGTGGCTTTATCTTTGAAATCACTGGAAGTCACTATTGTAAAGGAAGTAGAAGGAATTCATAATGAGGTGAGGGGCAGGTTTACAGTGGAAGCCCTGCAGACTAGGTGAAGCCTTATTTCTTGGTGTGGGAAGCAGGTGTGGCGCTAACATGACTGGAAGTTAAGGCTATTCAACAACTTGCACAATGTCATACTAAACTCTTTGAGTATCATTGACTCTTGTTTTTGGGGGTCGATTGGGATAAATGTAAAGTTGGTGCTCTTTGTTCTGAGTAGGAGGACTTTTTCACTTGGATCCCTCTGCTGGTTAATTCAAAGAATAACTTGAGCCAGATCAGTCTCATTGTGCCCAATTTGATTAATTTCTCCTTTTCTGTTCTACTCTACCAAAAAGGAGAAAATAGCTAAATTAAAGAAAAAGAGCAAGTCTGACACTTGCATGTTTAGCTGTTTTTCAAACAATGAAGTAGCATCCAGTCATTTTCAAAAAGACCCATGTGACCACAGTGATGGGAGAGAGAATATACTTTACAGTTTTCTTTAATAAGAAAAGGTGTAAGAAATCTACTTCTTAGGAATAATAATAATGTAGCTCAGATTCCTGATCCCGTGTGGAGGATCCTGCAGGTGAATAGCTGCATGTGCCTGGAATCTGAAGTCCAAACAGCTCTGAAAAGTTGTTTGTTCAGGTTGAGAGCCTTAGCAAATGGACATATTTAGCAAACCAAGGTGGATTCTACCTGTTAAGATGGATAGAAAATAGCAGTGCCCTGTTTAGAGAGAAATATAAAATTTTGTGGTATCTTTGAAAATGTTATTCTAATACTTTTTGTCAGTGGGAAGAGTTGCAATATGACACAAATCATTAGGCCTTTTTAGGAAATTGGCAAAAGTTTGCACTCTTTTTGTGAAAATGGCAGTTCCTTCTGAGAAGCTGAATTAAACTTTCATAAAATTTCATCTGAAAACTGCCACAAAGAATACTGTCCGCAGTGTTTTTTAAGGTCTTCAAAATGACAGACTGACACGTTTGTTGTTTTGTTGTCCAAAGAGCTGTCTTTGGTTGCAACTTCTGATGATTTTGACACAAGACATGAGTAGTGAACACTATAGGAAAAATAGGTAATGCTTCATAGTTAATATAAAACAATATAACATTACTTTACCAATTTGTGCTTTCATTTTCAGTGGTACCTTACAGTGCTGTTGTATTCATAGATTTTATAGTAGTCAGGATTCCTACTGGTGTAACTGGGTTTGTTTGACCCACTGGGACAAGCATGGTGTTTAATTTTCACATACAGTATAGTGATGTACTTACAACACTCTTTTCGAGGATTTGTTTTTTAAAGTTCATACAACAGAATATGTATTCACTGAGTAGTAGAACAAACTCACAATCTTCATGAAAATTTGAGGAACAAATATTTGGCTACCGTGGCACATTTGACAAAAATGGCAAAATAATCTCTTTTCTCTTAGTTTTAATCCAAAAAGTTTTTGGCCTATTTTAAAGCTGGCTAGTATTTTCAGTGCTCTACAAAATATTAATTGTGCCTAGGGGTAAGACTGTAGACATACGTCGTTTGCATAGCTAGGCCTGTTCAGAGCCAGCCTAAATTTGCACAGCCTTTTTAAAAGATGTATACTATTTACATCATGTGGGGATCTGGGCCTTTGCATTTACCTAGGTAATATTGCTTTGTGTTGTTTCCTGTTACACATATGATATATACTGTATCCTGTATATACTATATATACACTAGCAGAATTTTCTGGTTAGCCTATATGCATTGCACACTTAAGAGTCAATAAACATTGGATCCATATTCCACATGAAAAGAGGATCACCACCCGCCCTCTTTCATATTTTTCAAGATCATCCCTTTATTCAAGGGATTAATTCCATATGTCAGAGTACTATTTTAGACATTGTTCTTTTTACCACACAAATAGGCAAGTTATCTGTGGTTACATTGTGGTAGATACACTTTTTTTTGTTGCTTATCAAAGTTAACTGGAAACATAGATGTTTGAGAGAATAATACAGGCCTTTTCTTTTGCAAATAGAAGCTTCTTCACTTTTTATACTAGATATGAGTGGATTTCTGCAGTTTCCTGGCCCAGTACAACATGTAGGTTGTTATAATGTAAGATGTGTATAGGAAAAAAACACAACTCTGTCCCCATGTATCTTTGCTAATGGGCAGTTTACTTCCTGGTTCAGACATAGGCCTCCCCAGAAGAATTGTAACTTCATCTCTGAGTATGACTTGAATTGATTTTAAAATGCATATATGCTACTTGAATTATTTCTGACTCTCAGGAGTAATGTTGCCTTGTTTTACTTTTAAATACTACTGTAAAGCAGTACTTTAGAGACAATAGTTTAAATAGCAATTACTAGCTTTTAGGACTTTTTCTAAATTTTCTCTTTATATTGATGACGCTTATCAATACTAGATATCAGATGTCAGTAACTCAGATGAAGTCATCATGGAGCTCTTAGGAACTAGAAATATATATCCTACAGCTGAACATAGGCTTACACTCATTGCTAAAATTAAATCATTGCATTGAATATCTTGATACAAGATCCCACTGTTAGAGAAAATGCAACCTTAGGTTGCATCTCTGATGGATAATGTAGTAGATGTTAGATTTCTTTGGACTTGAAGTTCCCTGGGTGTCATAGTGCCTTTCATTAAAATAGATTCTAGGTCTGTATTTTGCAGTACTGCAAAGTACATTGTGACTTGGATTTGTCCACACAACCATTTTACTCCCAGCATGTAGCTTAGAATTATAAATAATGGCACCCTCAATTAGCACTATCTGCTGATGATTTTTCAAAGCAGTACATAGGGAAGGCTGTCTTAACTCCAGAACAAATAGTACGGTGACAAGTGTATCTGTGAGCAAAGTACAATATTGAGAATAGAAGTAATTACCTGAACAATTGTGGGATATAGTATCCTAACAGTAATGCATAGTGTTACAGATTGAATTAAGTCTTCCCTTTAAGCAAACAGGTGATTGTTTCGTCAGTAGTAATTTATACTGAAATAAATGGCCTGGCAGAGCTGACTGAGTGCTGAGTTGTTCACCATACTGATGTAGCTCTTGACTTCCAAAAATATGTACAGCTACTCAGTGCATCTAGAATGGAGCTGTAAGAGAACTGGGGAAAAGCCACTGTTAAGTAAATACCTTGTGCGGGGTGGGGAAAGAAAAAACAACAATATTGCCAGGCAGATTATTTAAACGATAATGGATATAATAGTCTAAAAACTTATACCAATGTACAGTCTCACCCTTTCTCCCCTACCCCCATATTTTGCATTTCAGATGAGCACAGAAATTCCATTGTTTTGAGTGATCTGGAGCTACAATAACAGGTTTTTGTTAGGGTGAGATGATTTCAGAATTACTTTGAGGGCTTGCTGGATTGGGCAGAGAGTGGGAGCAGTCCCACAGATTTTTTTGTGATTGGAGGTTTTTTTAGGATCAGGCCCCATATGAAAAGCGTTTCAGAAGAATACACATGAGTACTTAAATTGACAGAATCAAAGGTATTGGCTTCACTTGATTTTTGGTTTAGTCCTTTGATTAGAAGATTTGAAGTTAAGGTTGAATTCTTTGATCTAACTCTAGTCAGGGTGCAGTTACTCTTGCATATCTCAAATCCTTCCCGATGGCAAAAGTAGTTTGAGTTTAGCCCTCAGTGTAATGTGATGTAAAAAAAAAAAAAAGCCTCAGCTAGCTAAATTGAAAGAGTTTATTGTTGTTAAACTCTCAGGTCACTGCTGAGAAGCCTGGTGATGTACACAGCAAAAGGAAGGTTAATGCGTGTTTTAGCACATCACAGTGAAATGACAGCACAGTTGGTGGCTGGCTAGTACAAAAGAGAGAAAATATAGATCACCTACATAGATGGCATTTAATAACCAATACCTTTAAATAATTGACTGAGGAGCCACTAGCTCACAAAATGTCAAATGGTGCTGTTGGCCTTTTACTACCCACTATTGACAATAAACCTAAAATTGGCCTTGAATCATTGTTTAAAGGACAACCTGAAGATGAGTTGATGTTAGACATATGAGGTCTCATTCTGATCTCATTTTTATTGGTGGAAATCATCAGTGAAAACACTCATCAAAATAAGTTCTAAAGTATACTCTCTCTCGATAGATAGATATATTGCCTGTTTGCCATTTAGTTACCCACAGTGCCTGGGTCTCCAGTGTAAAACTGACATTAGAGAAAGTAGCCAGAGATGAAACACAGCAACTGTTAACCTGAGTTCAGATCTTGATATGTGAATAGTATCCTCCCTCAACTAATCCAAATGGATCTAGAATGGCTGGCTCTTTGTTTCTATTTCTCTTGAAATACTGTGACTTAAAATGAATTCCTTCTTTAGGAATGGTTGTATTCATCTGTTTGCCTTATTTATTCACTTTATTCTAGGGTCTTTTATAAACGTAATGATTTATATAACAGGTTTTGCTTTTGTACTGCATATATTTGCCTCTACTTCATTAAAACCTGTCTGAGTCTGATACTTTTTTGTTCTGCTATGCATAGAAAGGGCAGGAAGTAGAAAGGTAAGTTGAGATATCTCTGTAACTTTATTTGATCCAAGAATAGATGGTAAAGAGGTGCTTTATTTTAATAAAGGGAAGAAAAGGAGAGGCTTGGAATATAAAATGTAGGGGCTTCTGGAAAGCAGCCAGTAGTTATCTGTCTCTTGTTTTTCTCCATGATTATGGATGTGAGGTGATGTGAACTAGTATGTATTAATTAAGGAAGAAAAAGGGGTTTTCATTCACAGGATTACAAAACCTGTTCTGTTTACAAAAAAGATTTTTCTGTTTACAAAAACAAAATATTTTATATATAGCTAGGCAAAGGCATAAAGATGTAATGTGTGTGTCACACTGCCTACACAGATGCCTTTGCAGTCAGTCTCCTGGCCATTGGTTCCTGTGTTGGAAACCAAATAATGCTGCATGCCTGGACTGTTTCACCAAGATCATGTGTCAGGCAGCTTGATGACTAACTTAGTGGGTAAAACAATGATTGACTTTTAACCCTTTTTTCACTCTATAGAGAGGCTAAGTTGAGACATGAGACAAAATGAATTCGGGACTCAGTTTGAGAGCTCTTGTGAACAGTAGTCCACATCATTAAATAAGCACATATGTCACAATTTGGCATGGTTGGTACACTGAGCTTTAAAGAGACAAGCTATTCCTGCACAAAATTAACTAGTTTACTACTAAACTTTATCTCAAACCTAGAGAACACAGCACTTCTAAGTCATAAGCCACTAAGCACTGTGGAGCTACTTGCAACATTCATGCTGGGAGAGTAAATGTGAGGCCTCAATTTCCATTACTGCCAAGAAGCATCTAAAATGTAACCAAGGTGCCAAGATTTAAATGAGATTGAATTTACATAGATCAAGCAGACAAATCAATATAATTAGTCAAAATTCAGATTGACTAAATTCACATTCTTGTCACAATGGGCCATATTGTAACATCGATTTTTTTTTAAGCAGAACTCTTCATTGATTAATGGCCCTCTATGATTTATTTCCTGAAACATTATGGTTGCCAAGCTTTATAGGTTACAGCCTTTTTATTGAAAGAGGCCAGCAACAAATAAAAGCCCACATATGTACACAACCCTGGGCTGAATTTTCAGAGGTGTTGGGCACAAAGTGTTTAAAGTCAGTGAAAGCTGTAGAAGCTCAACACACCTGAAAATGAATCCCAGAGAAGCTTGACAAAATAAGTCTTGACACTTCATATATGGCTAATTCTGTAAGAGCAATAAACTTCACTTGAACTTTATTAAGAAAGACGTGTTGTTAAACCTGTATACTAAGGAAATCTGAGCTAGGCTTGCAGCCTTCCTCTCAAAACATTTAAGATTTACTTCTGTTAACTAACGTCTTCTAATCCTGTTGATGTCTTTTTTCTCCAATAGAGTTATTTTAATATTGTCTGTATAGCTTTGTTGTTTAAACAGCTTTTATTGAAATCAGTTACACATATCAAAGAAGTAGCACCAACAAAAACACTTTCAGACTTTAGTAACTGCTTCTCTTTATCCTCGGAGAAAGGTGTTCTTAGGTGAAGTCTTTAAACCACTTTCATTATTGTTTCCTTTACAAGTACCCTTTGTTTGCCACAGAGTTCAGTAGTGGAAAACAAAACAAAAAATTCTTTGTGGTAACAGGTGAAGATTAAAGTGGTTTTGAGTCTGTGTGAAACATAACTACCATAACAAAGATAAATACAAAATTCTAAATGACTAGGACTGTAAATCGCTATAAAAATGTGATTTACAGAGTAGAAAGACATTAGATGAATGGAAGGACTAAGCTTGAAAATTTATGAGTAGGCTATGTGGTCTTCACATTTTATAACTATGATGACGTTCTCCTAAAGGTAATGTGCAAGTATGACATTTAAGAACAACCCATTGCAGGCAGGTTTTCTGTTGTAATGTGTCAAAGGTGCAAGGTTATACAGCATGCAACTTAGCTGTTTTTTCCCCTTTCGGATAAAGATTTCTTGAGATGTGTCAGGCCCTCTAATGTCTAAGATCACTGGTGTTAGAAGTGTTCCACTGTAAACTCTGCTAGTGACACCACATTTGTATTTTGCTATAAGATGGCTTTATAAGTGTATCATGAAAATGCTTTAATTATTGTAAATAGAAATGTGCCTAGCAAATTGAAAGAAAAAAAGGCTTAAATTCTCAAGTTTAACAAAAAAAAATTCTTTAAAGAATTTCAAATTCACTTTTGATATAGAAATGTTCTCTTATCTGACTTCCTCAAGGCTGCCTGCATGATCCATTATAGTTTTATGGTACTGGATTTGCTAATGTAAGAGTCAGAAAAGTATCCAAAATCTGTGACTTCGGTGATGCAGTAAGCTGAGAGGTTCCTTTTTAACTCTAGCTATGTGCGTTCTTCTGCACAGCTGCTATAAGAAATTGGGAGCTTGTTTTATGTGAATGAAGATCTAATAGAAGGGAGCAAACTCATCCACTCACTGCAGCAGTAAATGATAGACCCCCTAAGTCAGGGAAATTGGATTTAGGAATAATGTATTTTGTTTTAGATCTCTTTCAAATACAGTGCAGCTAAGTACTGATCCAGTTTTTGTTCATGTCTTTGAAATGATCTTGTGGTCTCAGTTCAGGTATCTATATCATGAAAACCACCAACACAAGAGACAGGCTTGAATAAACAGTCTTCCTCTGGTAATTTATCAGAACAGCTAATGTGAGAGTTTAGGGACAGGAAGTACACACAAACTGGTATAAGTGATCAGAAACTGGTTCAAATCTGTAACACAACAGAAGTTCAGTGCACATAAACTGCTTTTAAAATGCCCCAAACTAGTTTAAGATAAACCTAGATGGATCATATCAGACTTAACTGATTTAGGTTAAACTGGTTTATTGAACTTCTGTCCCAGATCCCCTCCAGATTCAAGTTCAGTCCTCTAGCATACCAGGATGCTTTGCACCTCCCCTGCAAAATCCCCCTCACAGGGTGAGCAAGCTGGCCTTGACCCAAGCTGTCTGCTCCAGCTGAGCAGGCAGGTGTGCTCTAGGACCCCCTGGCTTCTTGCCTGAGGCCCTGCAGGCATGTGGCTGCATTTCCAGAATCAAAAGTTGAATGTCTGTTCACTTGCTTCTCAGTTCAGTCTAACCTGCAAAGATTGAATCAATTCAGCCTCAGGCTTTTTGACTATCTGTACTTAGCCATAAAGTCTAACAAGAACTCGACTAGTTTCTCACCTGTAATGGCTGTCACAATATCTCATGGGTTATGCCTTTGCAATCTCTGCTGTACCCGTTCAGAGGTAAAGGTGTCTAGTGTTGTCAGATGATTTTTCTTTATAATTGAGAGAGGCCTAATCCAAAATCAAGTATAATCAGTCTATGGTTTTGTATTGACTTTTGGTGATCTTTGGCTCAGACTATAAATTCACATGCAAAAATATATAAAAAGCTGCAGTGTATATACATGAAATTACATTTGGAGGCTGTTTGTTATTGCAAAAACTCTCATTTTCCTTGTCCTATAAGTAGCAACACAAATATGAACAGATTTGCAGTAATTCCAAATAATAAACACAGATTATTTATGTTATTGCCTATATATATTCTGTTTTCCAGGTTGAATTTGAATGGCTTAGGCAGTTTTGGTTTCAGGGCAAACGCTATAGGAAGTGCACTGATTGGTGGTTTGAACCTATGGCTAAACTGGAAGAATTTTGGAAAAAGATGGAGATTATGGTAAGTACCAATATCAATAATTAGATTCTAAAAGTTTTAGAATAATTCTACAGACACATTGTTAGCTCTGCACACATTGCAAGCATGCAGTAGAATCAGGCTTTACATTTTCAGCATCTCTGGATTTTATATAATGCCAGTCCTTTTTCTTTTGACTATCAAAGCAAGAAAAGAAATAATAAACCAGAATGAGCAAAACTAAAAAAAAAAAAAAAAAAA